AGGTCTTATATCAGGTCCTTAATCCACTTTGAGTTGATACTTGTACAGGGAGCAAGACATGGATCTAGCTTCAGTTTTCCCAGCAACATTTCTTGAAGTGATTGTCTTTTCGCCATCTGATGTTTTTGGTGCCTTTGCCAAAAATTAGTAGGCATAGCTGCGTGGATTCATATCTGGGTCTTCTATTCTGTTCCACTGGTGTTCATGTCTGTTTTTGTGCCAATACCATGCTATTTTTATTGCTATGGTTCTGTAGTATAGTTTGAATTCAGGTATTGTGATATCTCCAACGTTGTTCTTTTTGCTCAGTATTGCCTTGGCTATTTACTATCTTTTGTGCTTCTATATGAACTTCTGGTTTGATTTTTCAATCAATGAATGTCATTGGGATTTTGATGGGGATTGCATTGCACATGTAGATTGCTTTTGGTAATATAACCATTTTCACGATATTGATTCTGCCAATCCATGAGCATGGAAGATCTTTCCATCTTCTATAGTCTTCTTCAATTTCTTTCAATGGTTTATAGTTTTCATTGTATAGGTCTTTCACTTCCTTTGCTAAGTTTATTCCTAGGTATTTTATTTTTTGAGGCTATTGTAAATGGAATTGTTTTCCTATATTCTTTCTCAGTCTGTTCATTATTGATGTATAAAAAAGCTACTGATTTTTGTAAATTGATTTTGTATCCTGCTTCTTTACTGAAGCTGTTTATGGTGTCTAGGAGGTTTTTTTTGGAGGGGGGTGTTTTAGGTATAAGATCATGTCATCTGCAAATAGGGATAGTTTGATTTCTTCCTTTCCCATTTGAAATTTTTTTATTTCTTCTTCCTGTCTCATGTCTCTGACTAGGAATTACAAGACTATGTTAATTAAAAGTGAAAAGAGTGGACACCTTTGTCTCATTCTTGACCTTAGAAGAAATTGTTTCAGTTTTTTCCCATTTAGTTTGATGGTGGCTATAGGCTTCTCATATATATTATGTTGTACATTCCTTCTATTCATAGTTTCATCAGAGCTTTTATTATGAATGGATGTTTAATTTTGTCAAAGGCTTTTTCCTGCATCTGTTGAGATTATCATGTGGTTTTTGTCTTTGCTTCTGTTAATATGATATATTGCATTTAATGATTTGTGTTTGTTGAACCATCCTTGCATCCCTGGGATGAAACTAACTTGATCATGTGTATATCATTTTCATATGTTGTTGAATTCGGTTCACCAGTACTTTATTGAGGATTTTTGCATCTAAGTTCATTAAAGAGATTGGCCTATAATTCTTTTTGTGATGTCTTTTTTTCTGGTTTTGGGATGAGGGTAATGCTGGCTTCATAGAATGATCTTGCAGTGTTGCTTTCCTTTCTATTTCATGGAAAAGTTTGAGGAATGTTGTTATTAATTCTTCTTTAAGACAACCATGGAATTTAGCACCAGAATTTAAATCCTGGATGTAACCTCAGACCCTCTGATAGTGATGAGTATAGTGACTGGAGCTATTGTATCGGGTCACAGCCTTTGTCCAAGAGACCCATCAATGAGTGTTATTCTCTTGCAATGTCTCTTCTTGGTTAGTCTGTAAGAACTGTTTTTCTGGTGTTCAACTTGAAGATGAAACAACAGAACAACAAGATATACACAAAAAGAAAAGTAGGTTTCCATAGGAATGTATATCTCCAGGAAGAATTCATTTGCTCGGAGGCTTTTTAAATGTGTGCTCCATGTTCTTGCCAACACTTGCCCTAATTTTTCAGACACATACATCAATTCCTTGGCTTTTTAACTCTGTGTCTCAGATACTCACACTCCTTATTTTCCTTTTATACTTCACTACAATCATTTTTGCCTCTCCTGACAATATCAGCCACTCCTTGCCCCCATTATTCTTTTGTCCCAAAGAGCTGATAAAGCACAGCCATAAAATTATATGGTTATATTTAGACAGATAATATTTTGCATAATAAAATCAAAAAGTGATATGTCGGGGTCAAGTATAAGAATGACTTCTTGTGTGTTAAGAATATTGTAGCGAATTAGACTTACACATGAAATGTATATAGTTATAAATATTATTCAATATTTTTAAGAAAATATGTCTTACATTTTAAAATAACTATGCACTATGTCCCCAGGAAGAGCAGAAACTCAAAATCCTGGACCCACTCTGAAGCTTATACTGTGCTACACTGTGTCTTTGGCCTCCTCCACTGTAACCCAGCCTACGCATGGGTATTGTTCCACAATGTTTTTTTGTATCCAGTGAACTCTTAGTTTTTTAATTAGAAACAATTCAAATATTAAAACACCTAGATGTAAAAAAGTACTGAGAAGCATATTACAAAATCTGGACATATATAATATACAATGCTTAATAGGAAAATGTACAGTGACATCCAATTTTGTGTGGCGCTGCACTTACCAACAAGATTTAGAATGCAAGTATCTGTAACCTAATCATAAAAGCATGTAATATGAAGTGTTAGTAATATCCTTATGTGTACATGCACACATGCTCACCACTTTCTTTCCTCTAAGTTAAGAGTGGTCCATGGTGTCTGTCACAAGGCTGAGTGACTACAGTCAGTCTTCCTATACAGAACATTTGTCAAGAAAGGTATGCCTCCTCTTTTCTGTCACCACTATTTGCAAAAGCCACCTTCTCTGACATCATCTAAGCTTCAAGTTTAGCATTAGTCCACAGGGATGTATTCATTTCCATTTGTAAGATTACACTAATGAAAAGTGTTAATTTTGCATCGTAAAATGTCAGTTTGTGATAGTTTTCCAATAGATTATAGAACAGTTCTGCAACCCAAAGCTATCTGGGATAAGTAAATTGATGTAGATAGAAATGGTTGCGATAAATGTATTCTCAAAAGTTGTTTTGTTAATGATCCCAAATCTACATTACATGCATTCATTTAACAAATATTAATTGGGCTCTTACTGTACACAAGACCCTGCCAAAGTTTTCCTTGTCTGCAAACTGTGAAAACCGAACAGATTTCTCCATTCTGGTCCAAAGCAGCAATCTCCACCTGATCCAAAACCCTTGTTTCCCACCCCAACAAGAGTGACTTGCATACAACTTTACCCTGTGCCTACTCTTAGGAATCTGTCCATGAGACCTGAAGATCAGCATTAAGGGAGAAACAGTCCAGTCATTGGAAGTGCACTCAGGGAGTGGAGGCAGATCTATAGGTGATGACACAATTCTGGTTCTTCCACTTGCTAGGCTGAAAAATCCTGGGAAAATTATCTAAGGTCTGTGAATTCAATATTCATGGGGATACAATTCTCATAGGATTAAAAACCTAATGAGTCTGCCCAATGCTGAGCAAATGGTTACCACTGGGCAAATGTTGGTTTCCTTCTTATACCATTCTTTCCCTGCTGTTACAGGGGTTCTGTTGCCATATAGTCAGCAAGTTGCCAGTGCAGGCAGAATTCCAAACTGACACAAGAAGAGCATAGGAACACACATGGTGTCATAAAGGAGACCCAATGTTAGTTGTAAAAGGACTGTCCTCATAATGGGTCATGTGTCAAAAGCAATAATCACCCAGAGGAGTTCATCTGAGGCATGGTCATTTAATGGTACATTGTTAAGTGATCAGGAATGAACCAACTTTTATCCATATGTGTGTTCTGAGACACTGTGGAATGCTTAATGTGCAAAATGTGTAACTCACAATCTTGGAGAATCTTAGACATTAGACTCCAAGAAGAAGCTGGTTTCTGATGGCCTACTTACCTTTATCCTCATTCCCATACAGTTTCAGTTGACTGTGATAAAAATAAAATACCTTTAGTGAGACTACCTATGGGAGACAGAATTGATACTATCTTATTTCTGTAGATGCACAAACAACAAACAAACAAAAAAATCATTATTCCTACCTGGTGAATTAGATGTGTTGGTGGAGAGAGTGGGAGGCAAAAAGCAAAAGCAAATCCTAAGAGTGAATACAGAGTGAGATATAACCAAAACACTTTATATAAAAATATCTGATGCTATGTCATCCAGTAAACTAGATGTCAGACCAAAGAAAATTAATAACAAAGAGAGGTGTTATATATGATAAAATGATCAGTCCACCAGGAAACATATATGTGTCTTAAGTGTATATGCATGAAACAACAGAGCCTCCAAGTGCACTAAGCAAACACAGAAAGAGCTAAAGGAAGAAATAACTACTTGGGGTGCTAGGGATTTGGCTCAGTGATAGAGGGCTTGCTTAGTATGTATATGGCCCTGGGTTCAATCCCTGACATTGTAACAAGGAAGGAAGGAAGGAAGGACAGTTGAGGCCTTCAACTCTCTAGAATTACTAACATCAACAAGGATATAGAAGATATGAGTAATATGGAATAAATAAAATACTCCACTCAACAACAGCAGAGTATATGTGTTTATTTTCAAGTGCCTTATACTGTTCATAAATAGAGAATCTTCTAGGCCATCCAGAAAACCTCAGCAAAGTTAAAAGAACTGAAATCACAGAGAGTATGTTTCCAGACTATAAAGGAATGAAGCCAAAAATCAGTAACACAAAGATGACAGGAAAATCTCTGAACATGAGGGAATTGTAATTGACCATTATCATTCCAGCTTGTGGTTCAAACCCTTGTTACAGAAGAGCTGGGCTTGGGAAGTTTGCCCTGGAAAGTACATGCTGAGTATTGTTGAGGGCAAGGGTGGAAGAAGGGGACAAGCTTAGGAGGCTAGTATATCAGTCCCACCTGTCATTAAAGCTTGTACTGCACAGCAAAAGGAAAGACCGTTTGCTGATTGTTCACAGAATTAGTTCAATGCAGACTGGATCAGGAAGGTGTGAAAGAGGTCACCTCCCAGTTATTGGTACAGTTGTTAGATTAGAGAAACCTGAGAGAAAGCCAGATTCTGATAGCATCCTGGTGTGTGGCTGGTGCCTAGTGTAACCCATGGGCATAAACACCCATGTTCTTTATAAATCCTGTTCCACTTTTTAATAGGCTTAACATGGCTGCTTCCTCTTTGGAAGATCTCTCCCCTAACTGTGCCATCCATGAGATAAGGTTCTCATGTCTGGACAGGCAGAAGAGTTTGCCTTCTGGGGTCTGTGATTGGTCCCTTGTGGAAGGTGGGGATTTGCCTGCCCTAACATGGAGTTAGTTCATGATGTATATGTGATCATGGACCATGGATGTGTGTTTAAAGTTGTGTTACTGCTCCCAATTTCAGAAAACAGTGGTGATAGCAACATACTTCAAAGAAGAAAGAGAAGAGGGAGTTCTTACAAGAGTAATTTTGACAGAAAGAATGTTCATTATGAGCATAACGGATATATGCTTCTACCTTCAGAACTACAGGAGGATGATGGAAATGTGTCACTGAGGAATGTTCACATGGAGCCCAAAGTCAGACAGTAAGTTACCAGGCAGCCTTGTTTATATGTAGCAGCCCTGGAACTGTGCAACTCTTTCACCCTCTGTATTCATCATCTTCTTTCACTGGAAAACGGAAGATAGGGAGATGCAGGATACTGGTTGAGCAGACCTAATTTCAGCCCTGGTATCAGTGAGGGAAGGGTGCTTAGAAGACTATGTTAGCATTTCTGGACACCCTTTCTCTCTCTCCTCCACAGCATTTCTTATGCCATCCAACGCAACAAGAGGAGAGGGAAATGGTATAATGAAGACCGAATCCAGGTTACTGTGTGGAGGGATACAAAACCTAAAGAGAGAGAAATGGAGCAGGACAGTCAAGATAGAGACATGGAAAGCTGGTACAAGGTCACAGTGAGTATTTTGGAAAGGTCTGCATTAGTAGAATATTCTGAAATCTAAGAGAGGGATAATCACACTCAACACTGTAAGTTGGTTACTTGAAAAGTTTGTGAGTGGAGAGAAAATAATTTAGGAAATCCACATTTGGCACAAAAACAAGGAACTTTGTCAATAGTTCCTTTAGAACTCCTTTAAAGCCAGCTAGAAGGTTGGGAAAGAACACATGGTTGGGCCTATTCTCCATCCTAATTCCATGCTGTCTCTTTTTCTTTGTGTCTCTTCTTTCCTATCCCTTCTTTTGACTCTTAGGTCCCCTGTGGGAAAAAGTATGACAAGACAAAGCTATTGAATTCAATCCAGAGCCATTGCATTGTGCCCTTCACCCTGACTGACGTAAGAGGGGATGGTGAAGCAGGATGAGTGGGCATAGAGGAGAGGGAGAAGCCAGGTTCAGCAGGGGACTTTGGCATCTTAACAACATTGCTTCTGCCTTTCACTGTCTGTAGTTCCACTATGACAAAACATGGGCCAGGTTCTTTGTCCAGGGTGTTAGCACTGCCTCTGCATTGAAGGATGTCAGCTACAAGATTTGTAATGAGGAGGGCCAAAAGGTGTGTGCTGGAGGCATTCTCTGTGCCTGGTCCTGGGGTGGGAAGACTGGCCAGCGGTTGGTTGTCATCTTTGGAATTAAAAGTCCTGCTGCTTACCTGATCTCTCCTTCACACAGACACCTATCTTTGTCACTCCTTCTTCTGCACCCTACTCTGTGCAGAATAAGTTCACAGCAGAACAAATGGAGCAGCTAAAGGTAATGCAGATTGAAGGCACAATGTGTGCCCATATCCCAGACCCAGCTCTCCTTCCCCTAGTCTCTGATGTTCCTGCCACCATGACCCCCCACAGCCTCAGAGCCACTCTCTCCATCTCTGTCTCTGCAGCTGACCATGAAAAAACGATATGATGTCTCCCAGCAAGCTCTAGACCTGCAGAAGCTCTGCTTTGACCCAGGTATGGTTGACCACAGTAATTCTAGGGCATGTGAGGATAGAAGGGTCTGTCTGGGAGGAAGACATAGGGATGGCAACTTGGTGGAGGGATCTTTAGGGCAGTGGTCAAGTACGATCCCTTTCAGCCTTCTTACTTCCCCTGTCTTGGCTTCTTGAAGACTTGGTCAACCACAATATTCAAATGGTCCTGAATCGAAAACACTGCATGTTTGCCACCCTACAGGTCATTCAACGGAATTTCCCTGAGGTGAGGCCTTGGTCCCAATGCTGGTTTTTGAGTACCAAATTAGAAGGGATGTGGTACAGGGCAGATCAGATTTCTCTCCGATGCCCTAGATAGCACCCATTTCTCTAACTCTTCCTCCCCAAAGCTGCTGTCCTTGAACTTGTGCAACAACAAACTGTATCGGTTGGATGGCCTGTCTGATGTGGTAGAGAAGGCTCCCCAAGTCAAGATCCTGAACCTTTCTAAAAACCAGGTGAGAAGGGGGAATCACCTGAAATTTAGATTGAAAGTGGGAGGTAGTGCACACTGGGGTAAAGGCAAGAGGAAGATAAAGGTACCTCTGGGTAAGGGTGGGGTCTTTGAGTGCAAGGCCCCAGGTGTCTTTCCTTCCCTGGAACTTCCTTACCAGTTCCCTGTCTTTCTCAGCTGAAGTCTGCCTCAGAGTTGAACAAGGTAAAAGGGCTGAAGCTTGAAGAGTTGTGGCTAGAAGGAAATCCCTTGTGCAGTACCTTTTCAGACCATTCTGCCTATGTAAGGTAGGCAGTGCTGATATCTCTTCCTGAGGACCTTTGACCCCTGGGAGCTTGTACTGCCTCTGACATGCTGATCTGTAGAAGGAGGCAGCCATAGTCCTCTAGGAGGACCACAGGCCATGCCTTTCTCTTATCAGGGTCCTCAGCTGTGCTCACAGATCTCCTTTCCTTTTGACCTGTCCCCATTTTCATCTTGAATGAGTTTCCCACCTCTGTGTACACAACCTCCTCCAGCATGCCTTCCCATGCCTCATCCAGATGGGGCTGACCTTCCTCACCTGTCCCAAGAGGGGCCTCCTTTCTTTGCTCTTTGAAAGGTCCACCCAGAAGTGCCGGGCTGGCATTGAGGCTATCCTCCATGCTGTGGGCTGAGGGGCTGGTTGGCTGCTGTCATGACATCCCTTCCTTTGAATCATTGCTGGGAATTCTGCCATCCTTAAGGAGAAAACAGGATTCCCTGGATATAGGATCCAGAAGTGAGCCACCACCAGTGAGCAAAAGCTTTCCTGAAGCAGAAGCAGAAGGCAGAGGGCACTGACCCTCCCTCCCTCCACATCACATCACCCTACCTGCTCCCTCAGAGGAGCCTTGTAGAGCCAGAGAGAAGTATGATTCCTTGGGCAAGGCACGGGTACAAAAGTACTTGTGAGCAGGAGAAAAAAAGTGACCTTAAGAAGGACCACTGATCCTCCCTCCCGTGCTGAGCTGGTGTCTGACCTCACTCCTTCTGGTCCTGTAGAATGGCTCCAGTCTATAGGGAGGCTCCAATTCCCATGCCCAGTTCAGAGTGCCCTCCTATTCAGGGCAAAGGCTCAGCCTGCATCCAGTAGGGCCCAGACTAGCAGTTTCATGTTATCATTCCTGCCTTGGGCTTCAGTGCCAGCAAGGAGTGGGTAAAGGAGAAGGCTATAGTGAGTGGGGAGGCATTCTTCCTCTTTCTCCTTTGTCGCTAGTCTCCTGTGCATCCATTTTTTCTTCCCTTATGGTTTCTCCTTTTCTGTCACCAATTCCCCGTCCTGCCCTCCCTGTCCCCTAAGCCCTTTCTCATCACCTCCATGCCCAAGCATCCTAGAGGGTAGGGGTAGGGCCTGGCAGGCCATGCCCTGTAAAATGCTAAACACCCGGAGAGGTGGCAGACCCTTGGGACTCTTATCCCATTATCTGCTCCTTACAGAGCCTTCTGTAGGAACTCAGAGGAAGAGAGAGAGGTAGGGTAGAGAAGGAAGTCCTGGAGCCTGGGGCTTCTTATGGTCCTAGAGAAAAGTGTCAGGGCAGTGTGGGTGGGGGCTACCCCAGAGGAAAGAGAGAGGAGAGAGCAAAAGGGAGAGCCAGTGGGAGAAAAGCTGCACAATCCTGAACTGTCAATCATTCCTTTTGGGTTTTTGGTGTTTGGACAGTGCCATCCGTGATTGTTTCCCCACATTGTTACTCCTGGTAAGTACTTATCTTCATCATTGTCTCCTCTTCCTCACATGTCTGACCTCCACACCTGCCCCCAGGAAGCCCTTTGTTTCTTGCCTAGCTTGCATGTTTGCATCAGACTGTCATCCATTTAAGATGATGTGGGTTCCTGAGAAAGACATGAATGTTCTCCCTGGAAAAATGTCCATAAGCACTCTCTCACATAGATGCACGTGCATGCAAAGTTTGCATATAATAAGACTTCACCATGCAGACACCCACTGTGATCTCATCCATGGTATTTCCATATACTTGGCCTGTTGCCCTTGTTCCCCCTTGGTCCTCTTCATCTCCTTGGTCACCCAGTACCACCTCCATGGTCTACACTGCTGACTTCCTCTTCCCTTCCTTAGGATGGCCGAGAATTTTCTCCACCAATTGCCATTAATATTGATACTCCTGAGTTAATAAAACCCTGCAAGGTGAGGAAGAAGGACCAAGAGAGATTTGCGGTGTTCCAGGGAGGCTTTATTAACTTCAAAGTCTAAAGTGACTTTTTATTCTAGGAAAGCTATGAAGGATCTGAGAGTGTGAAGAGTTTAATTCTGCAGTTCCTGCAGGAGTAAGTGCTCCTGGGACCATGAGGGAGGGGAAGGACCTCTGGCCATGTTAACACTGGCCTTCTAATAATAGTTCTCTGGTCTCATTTGGGGTCCAGACCATACATAGCCTGTCCACTCCCCCTCCTACCCTTGCCTGCAGATATTACTTAATCTATGACTATGGAGATCGACAGGATCTTCTCAGTGCTTACCACGATGAGGCTTGCTTCTCCCTGACCATTCCCTTCAATCCCAAGGATCCAGACCTGTGAGTATCTCAGCTCAGACTCTGGTCTGGAGCAACATGCCCCACCCCACCAGCAAATGCAGGTGGCTCCAAGAATACCTGCATTCTCTGAACCAACTCTTGTTCCTCTTTTTCTCTTAGGAGAACCTTGCATGAGTACTTCAAGCATAGTAGGAACATAAAAAAGCACAAGGACTCCCGTAAGTGTATGTTGGAGATTAGGCAGGGAAAGAAGGTATGAATGGACAATCACAGGATATGAGCCGGGGTGTGGCAGCCCCCCAATCTTTATTCCTCCACTTCTCTACAGGTGTGCGGAGGCAGCTGCTGAAGCACAAGAAACATGACATTGTGGACTCCCTCAGTGTGTTGCCCAAAACTCAGCATGACTTCAGCTGCTTCCTGGTGGACATATGTTTCCACACAGTGAGCCCTTGCTTCTCTGGGACAATCCAGAGAGCTGGAATTGGGTAAGAGGTTAAGCAGGATCCTGAGCTCCTGTGTTCTTCCCTTTCAGGAAATGATGCTCTGCTTTTCTGTCAATGGGGTGTTCAAGGAAGGTGAGTGTCTGTAGCAATCCCTCTCTAGATCCCCTGGTGCTCCCTCCCCTAGTTAGGCACTCCTCCTCAGAATTCTTCCAGCTTCCTTGATTTTGTGCCTTTCCTTTCCGTTATTGCCCCTTTCTTGTTCTACCCACACCCTGCCCACAAACCATCCTGGTCTTACGTAGGCCCTTGCTGGTCTGCCCCACAGCTCAAATACTAGGGATGCAGTCTGTGTGATTTGATGGCTTTCATCCCTTACTCTGATCTTGGACCAGTTACTTTACCTCTCCATTTCCCCATTTACAAAATGGTGCTAATAGTATCAGTCTCTTGGGGCACTATGAAATAGAAATGAAGTGAGCTTTTGAAGTGGTTTTTACAGGTCCCAACATATGAAAGGGTACCAATCACTGGGAGTGTATTATTTCTATTGTTGTCCTCCAAGTCCCACCAAGCCCTCCTGACTCCAAGGGAGCAATTATTGGGTCTGGCCCCTTTCAGTGTAAGACCTTGACTGGGGAATGCTGCTTGAGCATGTAAAGCATGTGCAGCTCTAAAAGGGGTATTGTTTTTTGTTGGCCTTGAAGTGGAAGGAAAATCCCAGGGATGTGTTCGTGCCTTCACCCGGACCTTCATCACTAGCCCTGGCAGCAGTTCAAGGTAAGTGCTGTGTTGGGCCAGCCCAGGACCAGTGGCGTGAGAATGTGGTGGTGCAGTCCTCAACGTATTCTCAACATTGTGGAAGGTCAACAGATAGATCCAAGGAGCTAGTCTAGGCTAGTGATTAGTAGCATGGACTTTGGAGTCAGAATACCAGGTTCTCTTCCTGACCTCAATACTCACTAGCTATGAAACATTGGTTAAGATATAAGATTTCTCTCTGGCTCAATGTCTTCCTCTGAAAGTGGGGAATAGAGCATTGTGCAGGGGTTTTTTGGGGTAAAAAGTACAAATCTAGCCAAGCTAATAGATGGTGTCTCCAAAGGCAGACTTTGAGAAGGGCTAGAAGATACCAGAGAAGGAGTTATGGAGCCAAACACAGTAGAAATATGACAAGAATCTGGTTACTGAGTTTAGTTAGAGTAGGATTGGCATTGGTAGGGTTTTCCAACCCTTCAATTGTCTGAAGGTCCATTTCTCCTCCAGTATATATATCATGAATGATGAGCTGATTTTGAGGAATGCCAGCCCCAATGAGATCCACAATGCCTTCTCCATCCCAATACCCACAGTCTGCTCTACTTCCTCGTCCACCCTCTCCGAGGAGCAGAAGGAAATGGTGAAAGCTTTCTCTATGCAGTCCAGGATGAAACTGGAGTGGTCTCAGAAGTAAGTGCTAGTTGTGTACAGGAATGGGGTTCACTGAGAGACAGGTTGAGTGAATAATGGGAACTTGCAGGCAGTTTGGAAACATAAATATTGAGATATTTTACTTCTCCCCCCAAAAGTAGGCTCATAAAAATGTGTCTTAATTTATACTGGTATTTGTAAAGAATTTTTGAACAATGTAATATTCATGTGACATAAGCTTATATGTGGAAAATCCTAAGGAATACACCAGTACAAAACAAATTCAACAAGTTTGAAACTATAAGATCAATATACAAAAATCATTTAAATTTCTATGCAATTGCATTGAGCAATCGAAATTTTAAATTAAGAAAACATCTACATTTATATTAGCATTGAATAGAATAAATAGGACTGGAGGTGTGGCTCAAGGAGTAGAATGCCGCCTTTGTAGGCATGAAACCCTGAGTTCAAATCCAAGTCCCACAAAAAAAAAGAATTAATGAAAGACAATGGGGGACACAATGAAGATGGCAGCTGAACAATATCTTCCAGCAGTATCTTCCCACAGATATGCCAACTTGAACAATATTCATGCACCAAACTACCAGTGCAAGAGCTAAGGAAATCAGATGAGAGACTTTAGTGCCTGCTTTTAGTATAACAAAAGAAGACACATTGAGGAAGACAGAAAGGAAAGAGTTGCCCATGTTACCACCCTCCTTCAATTCCAGGCATGCCAGAATGAAGAGAGGCATCTCTCACTTAGGGGAAGGAGAGAGAATTAAGGCCAGTCTTACTGTTTGGAACTTGGTGCCACACCTTCCGGGGTGAAACCCAATGCTGGCAGAGCCCAACAACTGCAACTTCCAGGTCAATACATCCAGATTGAGCCATAGGAACAGCATTAGGCCAAGAGGCAAAGAAACTGCCTTCACCTCCAGTAGCAGAGTGGGGAGCAAGAATCTACCTGCTGGGGAACAGGGCATGAAAGGTAGCTCAGAGTTGTATTAATGCCCAGTGCCAAGCATGTTATTGTACGACCCGGAAACCAGTACAAACTGAAAGCCCTGTACTCATTCCAGAACTCACAGACAGAGTCTCTAGACTAACTGCATTGTGCAGAGACCTGTGTACCTCTGGGACCCAAGGTTTGGACCCATCGGTTCCACCATGGAGTGAGCCAGGTGAAAACCATCTTCTTCCTAATACTGTACAGGCTCCCATGACTGTGAAATCCAGGTGCAACCCAGCTTAGCATTAGCCTTGGTGGGCAAGGAAGGGACTGTCTCTGTCAGCCACTACTTAACCTCAAGAAGGAATGTTATTGCCCCAATGGCACAAACTCATGTTTCAGTCTCCATTACCACAAGCTGTGGCATGGGCCTCAGTGTAAACCTGAGACTGTGCAGGTCCTTACAGCTGTGAGATTCAGGAATGACCCAGCTTAGCATCAGCTCATGTAGCCCAAGGTCCACCTTCACCAATACTACCCCAGCCTCATGGAGTAAGACTCCATTCACTGGTGGTAGGACATGGTAGTAAGTACAAGACTTACCCTGGAAATTGTACAAGACTGATGAAACCTAACACTGGCCAGGCTATAACAATCATCATCCCTAAGCCTGCCTGCACATTGAGCCTCTGGAACAGCTCTAGTGCCATGGGAAGACACATGGCTCCAGTACCTTGGAATTCTATTCCACCTAGCATCACCTGAGGCTGGTTGCAGTAGTCTTGGCCATAAGTCCATCGTAGCAATATGCAATCTACAGAAGCATGAGGCTTGATCCTAAAACTGTGTAGTTCTAGTCTTGGTGGGCTTTGGGCTCAGAGTGACAGTGTTGCTCTGGTCTTCATGGACTATGAGCTCAGGCTGTGACACAGATTGGTGGGTAGGTGCCTACAGGTATGACATAAGAGCCTGGAGCTGGTTCATCTGTGGTTCCATCTGTGATGATTCTCCCCAGAGCTGGATAGGATCTTTCAGTATATGACCACAGGTCAGCGAATACAGATGAGACATTGAGGTTTACCCTGGTGCCAGAGAGAGCCCTATAGGGATGGCCTACTCTCTTTAGGTTCTGTCCTGTTTCTTTTTGAACAATATACCAACAGAGAATTTGGAACAAACTTGGGCTTTGATTGTTCTCCAGTGCTGAACCAGTGACAACACACCAATAGCAGACTCCCAACATATCTGGATGTGGGTACCATCTAGTGCTAAAATATTGGAGGTAACTATAGCATTAGAGAAAATAAGCTTAGAATTTCTCGAAAGGCAGACACCAAAAAGCCAACCTGGGAAGATAGTAATAAATACCTGATCCTTCAGTCTCCAGACACATAACATATAAACAAGCATCAAGGTCTTTCAGGAAACCATAAACTCACTTAGGACTCAAAACAAGATGCTAGAAAGTGACCAAGCAATAATATTTAAGGGAGAAATCTCAGATAGAATTTAAATCATCTGCTTTAGGAAACACAATGAACTTGAAAAAAAACACAGAGAATTGTTTCAATACCCTAAGAGAAATTGAACAAAGAGATGGAAGCTATTCAAAAAAATCAAATAGAAACCGGGTGCCAATGGTTCATGCCTGTATTCCTAGCTACTTAGCAGGCTGAGATCTGGTGGATAGCACAGGTCTAGGCAAGCCCAGGCATAAAAGTTTGTGAGATTCCCATCTCAACAGGGGAAAAATGCTGAGTGTGTACATCTGTCATCCCAGCTATGGTGGAAAGCTTAAAATAGGAGGATCATGGTCTAGGCCAGCCTGGACAAAAAGCAAGGAGACCCTATCTCAAAAATACCCAACACAAAAAAGGGCTATTAGAGGAGCTTAAGTGGCAGAGCATATGCCAAGCAAGCATGAGGCCCTGAGTTCAAACCCCAGTACTGCCAAAGATTTTTTTTAAATAATAGAGCCCTTTTTTTAAATAAAGGAAAAAATACAAAGTATAAAGAGCAAAACATGAACAAAATAGAAAAACCTTTTGGTATACTAAGGAGAGTGAAGACTTAAATAAACTAAAGCAGAGGTGGAAAGGGAAACATTACAGATGACACTACAGAAATACAAAAGATCATTAGAGATTATTATGAATAGCTTTTTTGCCAACAAATTTGATAATCTAGAGTAAATAGGCAAATTTGTAGATCCATCTTACCAAGAGTGAATTATAAAGAAATAGAAAACCTGAACATACCAATAACAAGTAATGAGATTGAATCAATAATAAAAAGCCACCCATCAAAGAAAAGCCCAAACTAGAATGCTTCTTTACTTAACATGTAAAGAAGAATGAATAACAATTATTCTTTACTTTTTCCAAAAAGTAGATTCCTTTTTTTTTAATTTAGGATTCATTAGTTGTACAAGGGGGTTTCATGCACAGATACAGTGTATTTTAAACACCCTCATATACAGTGTATTTTAAACAAGTTTACCCCCTCTATTATATTTCCTTAAATTCTCTCCCTCCCTTTTAAAAACAATATTTGGTGGATTTCTTTATGCTAGCTCCATACATATGTAAGTAACATATTTTGATCCTTTTCAACTCTCCATACCCTCTCCATTTCTCCCTCCTTTTACACTCCCCAACAGTGGTCATCATTTTAGACCTAGATTCCACATATGAGCAAAAATATGCTATATTTGGCTTTGTGAGTTTGGCTTATTTCCCAGTTCCATCCATTTTCCTACAAACAGCATAATTTCATTATTCTTTATTTCTTAGTAATATTCCATTGTGCATATATACCATATTTTCTTTATCCATTCATTGGTTGTTGGACACCCAGGCTGAGTTCAATGCTTGGCTGTTGTGAATAGTGCTGCAATAAATATTGGTGTTAAGGTATGTATGTTAATTTATTCTGTTGGATATATGCCCAAGAGTGGTATAGTGGGGTCATAGGTTAGGTCTATTTTTAGCTTTTTGATGAATCTCCATACTGATTTCCATAGTGTTTGCATTAGTTTATATTCCCACCAACAGTATATGAGTATATAAGGGTTCCTTTATCCCCTATGTCCTCACTAGCATTTGTTGTCATTTTTATTGATGTTAGCTATTCTGACTGGGATGAGATGGAATCTCAATGTGGTTTTGATTTGCATTTCCCATATAGCTAAGGATGTTGAACATTTCTTCATGTGTTCATTAGCCATTTGCACTTCTCTGTTAATCCATTTGCCCAATTATTAATTGGATTATTTGTTCTTTTGATGTTTAATTTTTTAAACTTTTTATACATTCTAAATATTAATCCCCTATCCAATGAATAGCTAGAGAAGATTTTCTCCTATTCTGCAGGTTGTCCCTTTATTCTGATAATCATTTCCTTTGATGTGCAAAAGTTTTTTAATTTGATGCAGTCCCATTTGTCAATTCTTATTCTTATTTTCTGGGCGATTGAGTCCTATTCAGAAAGTCCTTGCCTATGCCTGTATCTTCAAGAGTTTTCCCATAGTAGTTTCAAAGTTTCAGATCTCACATCAAGATCTTTGATCCATTTTTAATTAAGTACAGGTTGAGAGATAGGGATCTGGTTTCAGTCTTTTGTGTATAACTAACCAGTTTTTCCAGGCTGTCTTTTCTCCAACATACGTTTCAAGCTCCTTTGTCAAAAAATCAAATGGTTGTGTCTCTGTGGTTTTATTTCTAGGTCTTCTATTCTGGTCTTTATGTCTGTTTTTTGTGCCAATATGGCTCTGTAATATAATTTGAAGTCCAATATTAAGATACTTCCAGCATTGCTCCTTTTGCTCAAGATTACTTTGGCTATTCAGGGTCTTTTGTGCTTCCATATGAATTTTAGGATTAATTTTTCTGTATCTGTGAAGATTGACATTAGATATTTTAGGGGAGGTACTGGATTTGAAGTCAAGGCTTCACACTTGCTAAGCAGACACTCCACTATTTGAGCTACACCTCCAACCCTTTTTGTCTTGGTTATTTTGTCCAGGCCAGCCTAGAACATGGTCCTCCTGTTTTATGTTCCCTGCTATAGCTGGGATTACAGGCAC